TCCGCCTGCCTCGGCCTCCCAAAGTGCTGGGATTACAGGCATGAGCCACCACGCCTGTCCTCAAGGGCCATTCTTATAAGAGAAATGATGACCTTCTTCATCATGATTTTAGAAGTCAGATGATAAAGTTATTATTTAATTTTGTTTTTGTTTTATTTGTTTTCCATCTGGGACTGGCATTCAGAGACCCAGAGAGGTAAAAGGACATTGACTGGCTGCCTTGGGGGAAATAAATGCTTCCAGATTCTGTCGTTTTTAGCAGGGGCAACTCACCAGACCTTTTATGCACATGCTTTCTGATCCTCAATATGTAGATTAAGGAGAAGCACTCTTATGAAACATAAATGTCTGGGAGGTAAAATAGTAAAATAAACCTGTGCCAATAAAATAAAAAGAACCAGGAAGATCCAAGCAAGGCTCTGTTTGAACCAAAGTGGCTGAAAGCAGAGAACAGATCTGCTGGAGTGACTAACGACAGCTGATTTGTTTCCCCAGCAGGGGGCTGGGACTGTCCTCTGCAAATCCAGGAGATATGTTGTGCTCACTGCTCCACTGAAGGCTTGGGTAGGCACTGGTCCATCTCAGCAGCCCCTGGTCTGGAAAGGACATGATTGTCAAGGGGGCGGCCTCCAGAACTGTGGTTTCCAGACCATTCCCTGGTAACTGGCTTTTCTCTTCCATCCAGCTGACTGATGATCAGGGCCCCGTCCTGATGACCACTGTAGCCATGCCTGTGTTTAGTAAGCAGAACGAAACCGTGAGTACAGTGGCTGGGCTTCCTGCTTGATGCTAGGAGGGTGGTTTTCTCAGACCCCCTCTGACTCCAGCTCTGGTGACTTTTGATTTTTAAGCATAGGATGTATGTCATTTTTCCTTATTGTTTGATCTTGCTGTTAGAATCACCAAATCAAAAACAGATGAGAGGAACCCAGGCTGGCGTCATTTTGGAGTTCGCAGCACCTTTCCAAAGTTTAAGTGTTAGAGGACCAGAGGAGAAAAAGCCCCAGAGACCATCCTTGATTGTGGTGCACTGACCACTCTCATTTATAGTTACCAGCCTTTTATTAGTTTCCTAGGGCTGTTGGGAACGAAGTGCCACAAACTGGGTGGCTTAAAAAATAGAAATTTCTCCTCTCACAATTCTAGAAGCTGGAAATCTGAAATCAAGATATCGGCAGGGCCATGCTCCCTCCGAAGGTTCTAGGGGAGAATTTCTCCTTGCCTCTTTCAGCTTCTCCGGGCCCCAGGCATTCCTTGGCTTGTGGCAGTGTCACTCCAATCTCTGCCTCTGTTTTCATGTGACCTGTTCCTCTTATGTGTTTCTCTGTGTCCTTCCCTCTTGGAAGGAAATCAGTCATGGGATTTAGGGTCCACCCTAAATCCAGGATGATTTCATCTCAAGATCCTTAATGATTACATATGCAAAGATGCTATTTCCAAATAGCATTATATTCTCAGGTTCTGGGTGGACATGAATTTGGGGGGACACTGTTCAACCCACCACAAAACCTTAAAAAATACAATGGCCTTTCTGACATTGGAAGGTTTTAGCAAATCACAATGGTTACATGCCTTGGAAAATGGGGCTCTGGAGGCCTATTCCTTCACCCTGGTCCTCAGTTGGTAAAAGTGTTAGGGTTATTATATATTTCTCTGGCTATTTAGTCTCTCTCTCCTGGGCACCAGATGGCAGTGTAAATGGAGAAAGCAGTTAACATACTGTCTTTCCTGTAAAAGGCTTTCATAAGAGAAACTGGTGAATGTTTAGAGCCCTTAGCTGCTGAAACTCTTGTGTTTCTTCAAATCAGTGTTTAATTTTCAAGACAGGAGAGGGAAGCTATTATAGTGTCTTGGTAGGAGTATGCGTTGGGGACTGTGGTAGTTAACAGTTGGCCTGAGAAGCTCTCATTTTACCCAGTAACATTTTAGGTAGAGGGTGGGGGATAGAAGAGACCGTTCTTGGAGATATGGGTTAATCCTCAGTCTCTATCAGTTTGGGGAAGGCACTAGGCAGACGGTATGTGACTTCTCATGAGATTCTGTTTCTTTTGCCAAGTTAACTTACTGTTATTATAATTCAATGTTTATTTTCGACAGAGATCGAAGGGCATTCTCCTGGGAGTGGTTGGCACAGATGTCCCAGTGAAAGAACTTCTGAAGACCATCCCCAAATACAAGGTAATGAATGACCTAGTCACTCACTGAAATCAAAGCAACAGAGACACCCAGAGCCTTGTTTTCACAAAATTTGGAGCGATGTTTTTGCTCACCACTATTACAACCTGTTAGCTTGTCTTTGTACCATCTGCACGGTTATTTAAAAGGTTTTTTTTTTTAAATTTACAATGACTTGCTGTTTTTCTTATTTATCTCCTCTAACCTCAGTTTAAAGAATCAATGTTATATCGTAAGTTTTGACGTGATCATTGAATTTTTCTGATACACACACGATACTGACATGACTGGTTTGCCTTTTAAAAAGATAGTCCAGAGAGTTCTTAGACCCCGTCCAGAAAACTCTCCTATTTCCTGGTGGGCACTCTTTGGAAAAACAAATCAAAAAGTGGGAGGGGGATGCCCTTGAGGCACAACCCAGGCACACAGCACTGCCTAAGAGTGCTCTGAATGTAGGCGTGAGCATGTGCATGCCAGAGGCATCAGAGAGCAGCCTCCACCAGATCTGGTTGATTCCTGCACAGGGGCAAACACCACATTCACCCTCTCATCCCCCAGCACCAAGCAGACTGGCTAGCTGGTCTCCATTTCTGGCCCACTCAGATTAACGAGGGTTCTCTTTGTCTCCATCTAAAGGGAGCCCAGGAATCAGGAATTATTGGCTGCCAAGGGCTTCTTTCTTAGCACCACCCTCCCTGATATACTGGGGCCTGATTCACCACAGCTGTCTAGGGGGACCTAGGCTTTCCTGGG